TGGGCAAAGTAGGTCTCTGGATATGCCTTTCCCCCCACTCCTTCACCCCCCCCCCCCTAAACAGACCCCCAAGCCTTCAAGCTCACGTTCTTGGTGGCCTCCTGCTTGGCGCGCAGGGCCTCCGCCTCGCCGCGCACCCGCTCCAGCTCCGGGCGCAGCTTGGCGGCCAGCTTCCGCGCGGCCGCCCCCGCCGCCGTACGCTTGGCCGCCGCGCCCTCCTTCCCCTCGATCTCGGCCTGCAGGGCCGCCAGCGCGCCGCGCAGGCGGCGCACCGGCTCGCCTCCCAGGCCCTCCAGCTCGCGCTCGAGGCGCGCGGCCTCGGCCGCCGCCCCGGCCCCGGCGCGCGCGATTTCTTCCAGCTCCTTGTCCGCGGCGGCCACGGCCGCATCCAGGCGCCGCAGCGCGGCCTCGTCCCCCGAACGCTCCGCCACCGCGCGCTCCAGCCCCGGCAACGCGGCGCGCAGGTCGCGCGCACGAGCCGCGGCGGCCTCCGCGTCCAGCCGTGCACGCGGCAGCGCCGACTCGGACGACGCCAGCGCGGCGCGGGCCGCCGTCAACTCCGCCTCTGCGCGCGACAGAGCCTCCGCCGCACGACTCGACACCCCCTCCGCCTCTCCCAACTCCTTCTCGGCGCCCGCCAGCTCCGCAGCCGCATCCTGCCCACTGGAAGCGGCGCCGGCGCGCGGCGCGGCGGTACCCAGCGCGATGCGGCCCCCCTTGGGCCGCCCGCCGCCGCCGCTCAGGGTCCCCGCCTCGTTGATCACCTCGCCGGCCAACGTCACGACGCGCCGCCAGCGCGGGTCCGGGCCGTAGGCGATGCGCGCGGCCTGGTCCAGGTCGGCCGCCACCAGCGTGTCGCGCAGCGCGAAGAAGAAGGCGGGGCGCATGCGCTCGTCGCCGCAACGCACCAGGTCGTACAGGCGCGGCGCCGACTCGGGCGTGGCGGGCGGCGGTGCGCCGGCCGCGGCCGCCAGCCCCGCTTGGCGGTCCAGGATCAGAAAGGTGGCCACGCCCAGTCCGCGCGACCTCAGCAGCTCCACGCAGCGCTGCGCGGTGGCGGTGGAGTCCACCACCCAGTGATCCAGCGCGGGGGCCGCCGAGGACACCGCGACGTCATACCGCGTGTCCACTGCGCCCAGGTCACCCAGGCGGCCGTAGATCCCCGGGATGGCGCCGCGCGCCTTGGCCGAGGCCAGGGCCTGGGCCACCGCCGAGGCCGAGCTGGCGGAGGTCCGCTCCGCCCGGCGCTGGGCCACAGAGCCACGCAAGGTTCGCGCGGCGGACTCCGCCCTCTGAGCTTCCTGCTCCGCCTCCCTTACGGCGCGCTGCGCGGTCGACACCCTGTCCCGCAGACCCCCCGCGCCGGCCTCCAACTCCGCAGCCGCCTCGCGCTCGCGCGCCGCGCGCCCCAGCGCCTCCTCGAGTTCGTCCCGCGCGGCCTCCAGCGCCGAGCTGGCGCCGTCGCGCATGGCACGCACCAGCTCGCGCTCCGAGGCCGCCTCGGCGCGTTTGGCCCGCGCCGCCACGCCGCGCGCCTCCCAGGGCGCCAGCTCCGCGCGCGCGGCACGCAGCTTCGCGCGCAGCGTCTCGCCCTCCCCCGCCATGCCCTCCAGCGCCGCCTCCAGCCGGGCCTCCTCCCGCGTCAGCTGCGCACCCAGTTTGGCCGCAGCCTCCAGCAGCGCCGGCACCTCGGCCTCAGCCGCTGCGGCCTCGGCCTCCGTGCTCTCCAGCCGCGCGGCGTCGCGGCGCTCACGCTCCGCAGTCTTGGCCAGCTTGGCCTTTAGGTGCTTGAGCTCCTCGCGGTATGCGATGTCCTTGCGCTCGTACTCCTTGAACTCCTCGTTGGCGCGCTCCAGTGCCGCCGCCATGCCCGCGTGCTCCTTGCACGCAGCGTCATACCTTCAGGGGGTTGGGGTCGGAGGGCAGGCGTGGCGTCGATGAATTGTACATGCCAATGACAGGGAATGATATGCCCGGAGGATGGCAGAGCTCCGGGCAAAAGCCCTGCCTTATTCCAATGCACCACCCATGTTCCTCTCATCAACCCCGATCCCTCTCAACCACCCCCAACACACACACCTGGCCTCGTGCTCCTCCAGTACCGCACTGTACTGCCCCAGCTTCTCGCGCTCGTAGGCCAGCTTCCCCTCCAGGCTCGCCTGGTTGCCCTGGATCTTGTCCACATTCATTTGCGCCTGGTGCGCCAGCACGTGGCTCAGCAGCCGCTGCGCGGCGCAGGCCTCCCGTTCCTTGTCCAGCCATGCCTCGGCAGCCAGCTTATCCGCCTCCAGCGCCTCGCGCTCCCGCTCCGCGATCTTCAGCCGCGCAACCAGCCCCGCCCGGGCCTCGCCCAGCGTCTCCAGCCTGAGAAGGGGTGGAAAGGAGGAATCAGTATCGTGGGGAAGGGTAACAGTGATGTCAGATGCCGTGGCGGCGTGCGAGCAAGGGGGGGGGGGGTTGAACGGGGCTACCATGGGCGGTGATTGTGAAGCATGAGCCCGGCCGGTGGTCACGCGTGACACCCCCTAAGCCCTGTCTGCATCCTCCTCCCCACTCCCCCCAACCGACCACATCACCTCTTGGCGGAGTCGGCCAGGGGCTCAATGAAGCGGTTGGTGCCAATGATGTCTTCCAGGTATTCCAGCAGCCCCGTCTCATGCTCGGTCTGGGCCTTGGGCTTCATCATGCTGATCTGCTCCACCTCGCCCTATAGGTGGGCAGGGTGGGGTTGGGTGTCATCATGGGCATGGTTATATCGCAGGATGTCCAGATCTGGCACTTTCTGTTCACAGAGCGAGCTTAGCGTGCCGGTCACCAAGGAGAGCCAAGGCTACCGCCATGGACCCCTTCCTCTTCCTTGGCCACACTCACCTGGAGGATGAGGAAGCGGTTGTTGTCCAGATCAATGCCCTTGCCTTTGAGCAACTCCGTCACCTCCGTGAAGTTGCTGCGCCGGCCATCGATGAAGTAGTCGGACTTGTTGCTGCGGTGCGCGGTTCGGGACACCACGAAATTGGTGCCAGGAACCACCTCGAATTCATCATCGTTCTGGTGGTTTGGAGGAAGGTTGAGGATGCTGGGCCTCTCTAGGCTGTGGGGCGGGTAGCAAGCCGGTGGTGCTGCAGCCTGCTGGCAGCAGTGCAGAGAGTAATAGACACCCAGGCCATCATTCTCCGCAACAGAGAAGAAGCTGCGCCGACTGTACAAGCCCGGCCGCTGCACCCCTCACCGTGTCGATGATCTCTTGAAAGTGGACGGAGACCTGGGCATGCTCGATGCCTTGGCGCCCCGCAGAGTTGTGGATCAGTTCCGACACCTTGTTCAGGCGGAGCTGCTTGGCGCGCTTGCCGAACACGAAGAGCATGGCGTCAATGACGTTGGACTTGCCACTTCCGTTGGGACCCACCACGGAGGAGAAGCACTGCGTGGATGTAGGGAGGTGCCATGGCAATGAGCAGAGTTTCGGGCACATAGGTACCGATGTCGTCCAAGCACCTCTGCTAACCCAGGCGCTGCATCCCACCTTGTGAAAAGGGCCGACACGCTGCTCCCCGGCGTACGACTTGAAGTTTTCCAGCACCATCTCGGTGATGATGAGGCGCTGAGGCCTGGCATCGCTCTCCCCCACCATGACTCTGTCGATGCCGACTGCGGCACTTGCCTGTTCACGCGCTCATCGAATTCTTTGAGAAATTTAGTGATGTGCTTTTGAGAGCGCGGGCCGCAGCGCGCGAGAAAGTTTCATGCGAGGAGACAGCCCGCTCGGCTTTGAATGCTTCCCATTCGCGCCAAAACCTGATTGGTTTCCGGGTGCGACAATGGCTTCCTCGACATTGCTCGCACCGCCGACAGCGTTCCCAGGCCTGTGAGATTCATACCTTGACTATTCGAGTAGGCTGAGGTGTACCCTGCTCCAGATCCATCCCCGAGGGAACGCGCTTGCGGCACCTGCTCTGCACTCTCTGCGCAAAAGCCCTACCGGGAGATTCCCGCAAGGCGTCTGAACCTCGGGCTAGCACTTAGGTCGTCATCTTGAGGAATATATTGTATCTCCTTGATACTTGGACAAACAGGTGTCAGGGCACTGCAGACTCCTCATCCCTCTGACCCACCCGGCACGGCGGTGGCCCGCCTGCTGCTCCCCGGGCTTTAAATGGCACCGGGGCGCTCCATCCCGGGGCTGCAGCTGCTGAGAACCCTCATCATAGCGGTGCGCAGCTCCCGTGGCAGTATGGCGCGCTCCTTGATACCTGCTGCTGTTTGCAGCCCCCAACCAACCCTATGCTCTGTGCACACACACCTGTCTCTGCGCCCCTCTCCCCAGGGCCTGCTGGCTGCCGCGCATGGCGACCTCACGACCGACGACCAGTTCTTGTGCCCCACGCCGCACGCCATCCCCAACCTGCCCATCCTGAAAACGGAGGCCAGCATCAGCTCAGGGAAAGAGCGGGCTCCAACCGACGTCACCCTGGTTACACAGCTCTCCTTCGAGCGGTGCGCGGCTGGCTCATGATGCTGTTTGAGATGACACAGTGATGCTCACCACTTGCATGTGCATCCCTGCCTCGCCTCCCCAGTGTTCCTGACACTTGAAAGAGAGGGTTCTGTGCAGTGGGAGGTCCAAGTTTACATCCTTGCCCATGGTTGCACAGGCTTGGGCTACTAGGCTTTTGTGCCGTCATCCATCCCCCTCTTGTTTCCCACCCCAAGATTACAACCAACTCCCAACAACAGACTGTACATGCTGGAGGGTCAGTGCGACGTCTGGAGCGGGACCATCTCCGCCGCCGTGTACATCGCCCTGGTGGGTGGGAAGGCCGTGAGCGTGGAGCTGAACAGCAACCAAGACCCACACCTCATAGCCCTGAGCCGGGTGGTGGCTGCCTTCCGGCAGTTTCACGAGCTGGCGGAGCAGAAAGGTGTGGCAATGCGCTGGCTCGCGTGCTTGGGGTGTGCAAGGGAGAGGGTGAGCCTGGTTGAGCTGAGCATTAGGAGCAGCACTTGAGTTGTGAATGGGGGTTCGGGGATCGGGATATCTCCAGCCTCTCCTCGCCTCATATTCGGCCCCACGCATAGCGTGGGAGGCCTCCAGCCCTCAGCAAAGCAGGCATCGTCGCATCGTTCTCGCCTTCGACTCGGCCACCTCGCTGGGCCTCCCTTCCATGCTTCCCATCCCACAGTCCCCAATGTACACCCCGTCTCTTCCCATTCTTCGCCAGGCATCTGCAAGCTGGACCTGCAGCTCGTGTCCCAGGAGGTGGAGAACGTCTGGCTGTCCGGCCTCTACCCCGTCAACTCCATGCGGAATCGGGCCCTGGCCAATGCCAAGACTGATGTGGGTTGGAGTGGTGTGTGGAGGAGGGGGGGGTGCCGCTTGTGGACTCGTCCAACCCGCATGACATTGCCTCCCGGCCCCTTCCTCCCAGTGCCATTTTAAGAAACAACACTTCCCACTTCTCCCCACTCACTGACAACATCCTCACCTCCAGGTGGTCCTCCTGCTGGACGTCGACTTCTGGCCCAGCGCGGAGCTGGTGGAGGTCATGGCCCAGCCGCGCAAGTACGAGAGCCTGCGCGGCGCGGTGCTGGCGCGCCGCGCCATCGTGCTCCCCGCCTTCGAGCCCGGGGACGCTGGGGACGTGGGCGTGGAGGTGGCGCGCGGCGCGGAGCTCGGGGGCAAGGCGGCGGCGGCCGCCATGTCGCGCGACGGGCGGCTGAAGCCGTTCCACACGGACCGCTACCGCGCAGGGCACCGCGCGACCGACTACGCGCGCTGGCTCACTGCGCGCACGCCCTACCACATCCGGTACGAGGAGGGGTACGAGCCCTACGTCCTGGTGGCGCGCCGCTTCGTGCCCTGGTACGACGAGCGCTTCGTGGGGTACCGCAAGAACAAGGTGGTGCACCTGCTGCACCTGGCGCAGCAGGGCACGCTGTTCGTGGTGCACCCCAACGCCTTCACCGTGCACTCCCCCCACCCGCGCGCCCGCACCTGGAAGGTCACGCGCAAGACGGGACTCTGGGACCAGGTGGGCTTGGGAGGTGGAAAGGGGGGGAGGGGGGGGTGAATAAGGGAGAGGGGAGAAGGCGGTGGGTCAGGGCATGCCGGTCCCATTGGTGCAGAATCTCAGTGAGGGAGGGGGGGCTGAATGGCGATGGAGGACGGTGTGTCCATGCTTCGGGCTGCCGGCCCTGGAAGGGGCTGTGCCACGTCCCCATGAGTGCCTGCCGGCCCACTTGCACGAATGAGAATCTGGCCTCGCAGCTCATGAACCCCCCTCGATACCTTCCCCCCCACACACAATGCACAGCTGGCGACCATCTACCGTGAGGTCAAGGAGCAGCTGGCCGCGCAGACCTACGTCCCCGCGGCCATGTACTCCTGCGGCGAGCACGTGATAGGCCCGCTCCTGCCCGGGCCTCCCAGCCAGGCGGCGACGGCAGCGACGATGGCGGCGGCGACGACGACGGAGCAGCAGGGAGCGGCGGCCGCAGCCAGCGGCGCCGTGACGACAGCAGAAGCACAGCCGAGTGCAGGGGCGACGGCCGGGGACGCCGTGCTGGGCGAGGATCCTGGCGCTGCCACGGCTGTGACCGCCGCGTGAACGGCTGCGGCAGCCTGGGGCCGGCCCTGCGGCGGGGGCCGGCCAAGCCCCAGCGCACACCTGTGCGCCATGTGAGGTCGGGGCAACGCGATTTTACGCACGATGACCCTGCCGTCCCTTGCCTGCTTGCATTTGAATACAATGAACAAACACAGGGCTTGCATCGGGCCCAAGGGGTGCACACGCGCGCTGGACATGTGCTGCCGTTCGACGACGCTGTGTGGCGTGGCTGTCGTTCCTCAGGAGCGAAGCTTGAAATACACAGGAAGATGCTTCTTCATGCATCGCATGTGATGCCCAGCTTTGAAAAGGCTTTGGGAAGACAGCCTTGAAGATTCATCGAAGAGCCTGCACCAGGGCCATTGGGAGGCACAGGTCTGGCTCATCAAGCATGTATCATCATGGGAAACCGAATCATTGCCCACTCTGCAGCGCCATCTTGCGCTACCCACCTGTACTGCCGCCACCAGCCTCTGAAGATCCATGTGCCAGGCAGGCCAGCGGGAGAAACTGAGTGTCGCTGCGTACCAGCTTCTCAGTCGATTCCTGCAGCATGCAAATTCCGTCCAGGAAGCCTGCTTTGGGGAACTGGCAGGTGCACCTTTCGTTCGTGCTGGATCTCACGCCTCTGCTCCAGGTGTATCAGGTACTGCTGCAACTGATGAACTTCCTGGGCCCAGCATTTTTCTGTGAGGTGGAGCTCCGCCTGTGCAGGGGTTTGCGGAAGCAGGATGATGGCTCAGGGATTCTGGCCCCTGGAACTGAGTACTATCTGACCAGACAGCTCTTCACTCAGTTTCCATGAGCTTCATCACCCACCTCCAGGGCTGTGATCTTCTTGCACAGTTCCTCGCACACGTCTGGGCTGCACTCCTGATGCTCCCTGGCATGGGATCTGGGGGTGCTCCCCAGGGAGTCGAGTGGCTGTCCAGACACACTGGATCCGCTGCTGCAACAATGCGCTGAGCCACCTCCCTCCGTGTCCCTGCCCTCTCGTGAGGACTGCGCCAGTGCCTCTGCCACCGCCGTGTCCAGCGCCTGAGCGTGTTCCTGCCTTGTCAACATCCCGGCATGCGTCTGCAGGACTGCGGCCATGGCAGCCCGAGCTTCGGTGGGGGTGTCATGGGGGGGCGATTTGGGTACTGGGGCATGCTGTGCGGCATGATGGAGTTCACTGCCAGCTCCAAATAGTCCTTCTCCCCTCATCAAATGATCACCAAGCCACGCACCTCTGTCCAGCCTGTCTTGTAGACTCAGGTTCACTGCCTCCAGTCTTGAAAGGTCACTGCCGCACTGAGTGGTCTGCGTCACAGCGTCCCTGAACTCCTTGACAGGATCGTCGAACATTTGATTCCACTGGGCATCTGGTGTCTTTCTTGGGAGGGCATGAGAGGTGAGCTGCCCTGGTGCCCCAGCCTCCATTGGCTGAGGTTTGGAGTACAAAAGAGGGGCTGATTTCCACAGCACCGAGTCTGGACTGCAGGTCTGTCGGGGGTGTGGCAAGGAGTAGTTTTGCCATGCTGAGGCAGCGGGGTGAAGGTAGTGAGCGTCACGGCTGACATGGTGGAGGGCTGTGGCGGTCGCCGCCACATGCCAGCTGGAAGCTGTCGCACCCAGGCGATCTGCAGTGGCATCGCCGATCTCGTACAGGTATCCAGAGGATAGTCCATCGCGCGGTGACATATCTGTAGGTTGTACTGCGATGGGTCCATCCCTTTCCGTCCTGATCGCGACAATCGTGCTCCTTGTGCAGGGGGTTGTACCCACGTCAGATAGAGGGTCCCACCCACACTCCATGGAGATCTGGCACTTTCCAACACCCTCGAGCCCCGGTCGACAACCTGGAGATCTGATTGCTTCGAACGCGATCACGTATCTAGCTCGTTGCAAACCTGCGTGGATTCTCCCGGTCAACGGATTGCGCGTGCTGCTGGCCAGGAAACCGGGAATCTGTACCCCCGGAGTGCACAGCACGCTGGTCTGCGGAAAAGACTCCCGACCTCCGACTCTTCAGCCCCACCAAGCCCCGGGCCCGCACTCCTGCTCGAGCCCATGACCGCAGCCACGGTGTCTGGCTCCCAGCCCACTACAAGCATGTGCATCACATGGTCAACTCCATGATGGCAGTCACGATGTCGTTGTCTGCCGCCCGGAGCGCCTTCACCGCCTTGCTACGAGACACGCTCGCCTGGGTCATGACCAGCTCGATGTCCTTGGCCTCCACGCCAGACTCATCCACCTCCTCGCCCTCCTCCTCCGCCTCCGGCTCGGCGGGCTTGGCGCTGGCGGCGCCGCCCTCATTCCGGCTCGCCATGGCCTCCGCCATCCTGTCGGCATGGCATTCGACGGTGGGGGATGAGAAGAGGCCAATGGACAGAGTTTCCTGGTGGAGAGCGGGGTGGCACCGAGCCTCCACACGCGCCTGCATGCCAGCATGCATCCGCGCTCATGCACGATGCTGCACTCAGCACGCAGGGACCGGCAGCGACGAGGCAGCATCACGCTCAAGCCCCACCAGAGAGCAGGATACAAAACTCAACCCGCCTCTCTGCACCTGAACTGCTCTGCTGCGCCGGCGGCGGCCTGGGCAGACAGATCCTCAATCTTGGCCTCGCCAAAGATGACGTAGGTGTCGGAGGTGGGGTTCTTGAACACATCGGGCTTGGTCATCACAAACAGGATCTGGGGGAGGTGGGAATGGCATGGGGAGATGATGTGAGCAATGGACTTCCATTGTTCTGTGCAATACGCAGAGGAGGCCATGCCATACAGAAACCCTGGTTCAGGACCCCGGGAGCAGATTGGTTCAATCCCCACTCTGGACGCCTCACACCAGGAGACTCACGTTCTTGCTCTTCTTGATCTGGACGCGGGCAATGCCAGGCACGGGCTTCATGCCCAGCTTCTGCATGGCCTTCCGGCTCTTCTTCTCCGATCGGCTCTGCTTGCTGCGGCCCGACTCATCATCGCCTGCCCATGGGGAAGGCAGGGGAGGGGGAGAGGTCAGAGCCACGGCGCTACCCTTAAATCCGCAAAGCAGATAGAATCCGGTCAGGAGACTGCCCTGCCAAGAGCTCACCGGCCTCTCCATTCTCCTCCGCATCGGAGTCACTGGACACGACGTCGTCGTCGTCGGCCACATCCTGCGGGGGGCAGCCCAACCTCAGAACGCTAGACCAGCCGCCGCATGCCTAGATATTGTATGGGCGGAAACGCAGGCTCCACCAACAAGATGTATGCGATGGGGGATCCCGCCAACCCGGCCATCAGCCGTCACGCCACCTCACCTCGACGGTCTCGACCTGAGCTTCCTCCTTAGTCATGGTTGCAGTGCGCGTGAGAAGGATTTGGGCAAGTAGGAGGGAGGACCGGTGGGTAGAGAGGCTGTGCCATGCTGCTTAGACTTGCTAAGCTTCCAGCCGAGACGTCCCTGGGTCGAGTTTTTGGCGCCAAAACAATACAAGGCGCTCCCTCCGACCAAGCCTGCCCGATCACAACGGTGAATGGAAGGTAATGTTGGTCACCCTGCATGCGGCAGTACTCTTGGTGCATCGAGATCTTGGGGAGGTTATATCTCTATACAAAAGTTTTGTTGAGCACTGGTTTCCTTGCCTACACTCATGTCGTAAGGATCACCGACACCGGCAGGATGCCTTTCTTCCGCGGATGCCTTCTCAGTGGCAAGGTGCTTGAAGGTTTTTGAAAAGACCTGAAAGGGTTGCGAATTCTCGGGTATGGACCGGCCTCGTCCTCCTTCAGGTCGTCCCGCCAGGCCTCCAGCAGGGTGAGGGAGGCAAGAGGAGCTTTGTTCTGTTGCAGTGTGTCATGAGGGGCAAATGCTCAGGCGTCTGGTACTGTCGAGGAGATAGTTGTCTGGATGGAGTGGATGAATTCAGTGCTGCCGCAATACTCACCAACTTCTGCTGCTGCATGTAGGTCTAATGGGACCCCGCCTGGTGCGTTCCACCCCAATGCCAACCAGCACCCGATGGGGCCACCCCCCTTTCTTCAGCCTCGGTTTGCATTTCCTCCAAGTCGGGTGGGTCACAAGGATGCCTTTGCAGGGCGATGTGTGCTCAGAATTCATGGGAGTCCAGCTCCAAGCCACTGACCACCCTTTCATGACCAACCATGCCCCTTTGCACTGGCCCCCAGGCACATCCCTACCATGGCCCAAACCCCGTGAGGCCTCCACCACCTCACCGCCCTAGTCGGGCTGAGGAGGTGGGATTGGCAGGGAACGGGAGTGGTGCTCGGTCGGTAGAAGTTGATAGCATGCACACACTTTGAATAGCGCAGCGTCCTGTCCCTGTACGAGGATGTCCCGTGTCTCTGCACCTGTTCCAACCTCCTGCCATGAGCTTGTCTGCCAGCAAGGGACCCTCCTGTCTCTTAAAAATACCACCAGGAGAGGCAGCGCCAAGCTGCAGCTGCATGGACGGCGCACACCTCCCCTGCCGGTGTCGTGTATTACTACAACTCGCTGACGGAGGAGTCGTCTTATTCCAGACCCCCAGGATTTAGCGAAGGGGTGCCCACGCCGGCGACGGCCGTGCCCGTCCCTGCCTCTGCAGGTGGGGCGGGGGGGATGGTACGGAGGGAGGACATCTACGCCTGCTGGTTGCCATGTCTGCCCGTCGTTATACCTTGGAAGAGGAAGTGCAGTTCTCAGAGTCAACCCCCCAGATTGAACCTCATGCACAGCACCACAACGCTTCCCTCCAACACTACTTACGCCCCACCTAGAAAGCGTGCCCGGCACCGAGTGGCAGGAGGTGACCTGCACCGATGGGCGGCGGTACTACTACCACACGACGACCAGCGAGACATCCTGGAAGGTCCCCCCCGAGGTGACGGCGGCCAGGAATCGGCCACCCCCCCTTGACCCCGGAAAGGCTGCCATGCTGGCGAGGGCCGTCGCCATGGGGGCCGAGGCCGCACCCGAGTATCAGGGCGGTGAGTGCAGTTGGCTGAGGGGAGGATCCTGCCTCGACCATGTTCCTCGCCTGGGTCTTGGTGTGACTACCGCTTATGGCCATGAGGCACCCCTCCCTGCAGTCTGGTGTTATGGCAGCCCCTCCCACATCCATTGAAGTGTCTACCCTGGTTGAGTTTCAGCCCTGGGCCCCGCTCAGCCACTGCCCCATCCCACTTTTCCCCCACCCCTCTGACCTCACAACCCATGCAGCCCTTCGGACAATCCGGCTGGGCCGCGGTCCGCTTGCGCACGCCTCCGGCGCGGTCATGCCACAGGCTGGCGCTGCGGATGCAGGCCCCCTCCTGGCGCTGCCCGCTCCCGAGGCTGCTGCGGCCGGACAAGATGTGGAGGACGAAGATGTATTCTTCACGGAGGAGGACATTGGCGGGGCGACGGAGGCGGCGGAAGAGGCTGGGCTGGGGTCTGGTGGAGCTGAAGAACCCGAGGGGCCGGTGGAGACGGACCAGGGCCTTACAGAGGCCATCCCGGAGGAGGGCGCTCCCGCTGGCACAGCAGCCTCCACGACTCCCGGGAGCACAGAGGTTTCACACACGCCGGCTGGACCGATAGTAAGTGCAGCAGCTGCTAATGCCACAGCCTCTGAAGCTCCGGGCGGCTTGACACAGCCAGACCTGCCCGCCGGCATGGCTCCGCCCAAGGCACCTGCCGGCATGGCTCCGCCCCAGGCCCCCGCCGGCATGGCACCGGCTAGAGCGCCTCCTGGCATGGCTCCGCCCAGATTGCCCACGGGAATGGATGCTCCAGAACTGCCCACTGCCATGGCACCCACCAGAGTACCTCCTGGCATGGCGCCACCCACCCTGCCTGCTGGATTGGCGCCGCCAGTTCGCCCCGCGGGGCAACCCGCGCAGGCAGCCCTCGTCGCAGGCGACGGGTCCCGACCTCTGGATGGCGCAACGCCACCGGGTGCAGAAATTCTCCGTCAGGGGCTCGAAATGCCTGGTGCAGCGGGGAAGGAGACTGCCCGTGTCGCGCTGGAGGCGTTCGAGGGCCTGCTGCGCGCGCTGGGCATCCACGCCTTCTCGCGCTGGGAGAAGGAGGTGCCCAGGATGCAGGCCGACCCCAGATACAAGGCGAGCAAGGATGCGATGTCGGGGTGGAGCCATGCATGTTTCGTGCGCACAAGGGGCTGTTTGGGGCAGCATGCTTGTGTGTGGTGCAGGAGTTTCCACCGCATGCAGATGAGGGCCACTCGTGCGACAGTTCCACTCGCTTGATGCCCTGACCCTCAGGCGCTACCTCCGACGGAGCGGAGGGCGGCCTTCGAAGCCTACTGCGCGAAGCAGGGGAGTGCGAAGAAGCCTGCCCAGAGCGGCGGTGGGAGGGGTCCTCCGGGGCTGAAGCCGGCGGGTGCAGATGCAGGCGAGCAACTCGGCGAGGAGCTTCCTGCCGCTGACGCCGAAAAGGCCTTCATGTGCGTCCCAAGGCCGTGTCTGTGGGTGGGGATGAAGGTTCGGGGTGTCTTGGCTTACGGGCAGGGGCAGCTTTTGTGGTGCTGAACATCTTGTCAACTCAACATCGCAGGGATCTGCTCAGGGAGAGGCAGGTGACTGGGTCGATGGAGTGGTCGGAGCTGCAGCCGGAATTGCAGGGAGACCCCAGGGCCGCGTCCGTGGCCCCCGAACGCCAGGAGGCGCTGTTTGGCGAGCACCAGTCGGCGCTCAGGGTGCGGACAGGGGAGAACGTGTGTCGCCTGATCTGCTAGCAGGGACAGTACTGCTGTGCTGTGCTGCGGGTGCACTGCATGGTGGGATCTTGACAGGCCCAGTTGGGCAATGGTGCCCTCTCCGTGACCTTCGACCGCCGTGACCATGTTTGCAACCTGCATCGCGCCCACTCCAGGGGGCGGAGGCGGCCCAGCATGCGGAGCGTGCGGCCCTGGAGGCCAAGCATGCCGAGGCCGAGAGGCGGCTGGAGGCAGAGCGCCGCGCCGCCGACGCACGGCGGCTGACCGCGCAGCGCGCCGCGGCGGCCACCGCCTTCTCCACGCTGCTGGTGGAGAGCGTGCGCCACGCAGACGCCAGCTGGCGCGAGGCCTGGCCTGCGCTGCGGCGCGACGCGCAGGGTCGGGCGCGCGACGCTGCGCTTTCTCGGGACGAGGCCGAGGCCCTGTTCCGGCGCCACGTCGCCGAGCTGCAGGACGCCGCCGTGGACGGCTACGTGGACCTCCTGGTTGAGCTCCTGCTGGTAGGTTTGGTAGCCTGTGTGTGTGATGTGGGTGGGGGGTGGGTGGGGGGGAGGCTCCTCATCATTGTCGCAGCTCCACAGACCCGGGCACAGCCGCCTCTCCAGCCTCGGGACCCACCCTATCACCCCCTCTCCCACCCTTTCCTTCCTGCATCGTGCGCAGCCCCTGATCCCCAAGGACCCCGAGGGGTCCCTGCCGCGCGAGGCCACCAGCTGGCGCGAGGCCGAGGTGCTGCTGGGCGACGACCCGCGCTTTGCCTCTCTGCCCGGCGCCCAGCGTGAGGGGCGGTGGCGGCGCTTCGTGGAGGACGCCGACTGGAGCCGGCGGCACCCGGACCAGCCGCCGCGGCGGCACCGCCGGCGCCAGCGCGGCGCGCCCAAGCGCGAAGCGGACGCCCCTTCGGCCTTGGACAAGGCGTACACACGCGAGTACCTGGAACCTGCCGCCAAGGTCGCGCGAAATTGACACGCAGAGGCGGGGATTCTGCCGAGGGGTCCAAGGCCTATCTTGCCTAGTCGAGAATGGTGCTGGCACGCCAATCACCTCTCCTGTCTCTGGACCCGGCGGGGCATTCGAGTTACTGCGTCCAATTGCAGAGGGTTTTGCTGCACCGGGAACCGGAGCGATGCACAGAAGTACGATGCACCAATGGCCTCACAGAGGTCGAGTGGAGGCTATGTGAAAGGGAAGCATGGGTCTCTGGAAAAGAGTGTGGGCGCAGGCGCATGTGGGGGGGACGGCACGCGCCCATCCAGGGCCGGGATCCTTGAGGGCTGACCCAGCTCCCGCCCAAAAGGAAGACAAGACGGCTCGGGCGCGACGCGCCTAGACCCAGGCGCCCAGGAAGGCCATGGCCGCGGCCCCCGCCCAGAGCGAGAGAAAGGCGCCGGCCTGCGTGGCGGGGCCTGCCCGCGCCATCCACCGCGTGCGCGTCATGTGCGGCGTCAGCAGCTGCACCAGGCCCACGTACAGCAGGATGCCCGTGGCCAGGGCCTCCAGCGACCCCTCCAGCGTCGACGCGCCGCGGCGGCCGCCGCTGGCCGCCGCCTCGCGCAGGCCCACACCCAGCAGCACACCCAGCGGGGTGGAGAGGGAGAAGACGCCACCCAACGCCACCGCCAGCCAGTAACCCGTGTCCACGTCCGCCGTGGCGCCGCCCAGCGCAATGCCCTCGAAGAACTTCAGCAAGGGGGAAGTGAAGGGGGGCCAGAGGTTTGATGTGCAGGAGGTGCGAAAGCCGGGACCGGCACCGAGAGTACGCCCCCGGGATGGGCCTGAAGGTCAGGGCCGAAAGGCATCCTGTGACGGTCTCTGGCCCTGCACATCTCCCATCTGTGCAAGCACCCATCTCTCTTTGACAAACCTCCTTCCCTCAACCTCAACCCCCGTCTCCTCCCCCCTCTTGCCCCCCCCCCACCACACACACCTGGTGCACGCAAAGGGCGGCGAGGAGGGTGTGGAAGGCGGCGGCCCGCGCCACGCCCAGCCCCACGCCCACCAGCGTGCTGTGCACACTGACCCCCAGCTCCAGGAGCACGAGGCCGACCAGGTCGCCCGCCGCGCTCCCCGAGACGGGGCGTTGCCGCTGCGCCGCTGCGGGTCTGCGCAGCAGCGGCGCCGCGGATGCCGCTGCGCCGCCCTCGGGCCCGGCCGCCGCGCCCACGCACGCCCTGCCGCACGCGGGGTCCGCGCAGCAGCAGAGTGCATCCTCGCCGTCCTCGTCGTCGCCGGCGGCCCCCGCCGCCGGCCCGCTGTCGCCGTGGTGGTGGTGCAGCGCGAGCGCGGCGGCGGCCGTCGCGCGCGTGCCAGGCCGGCGGGACAGCCCCTGGGCGGCCAGGGCCACCGCCCAGTCCAGAAAGTGCATGCCCAGCAGGGCGGCGAGGATGAGCCAGTAGGCCAGCGCGGGCGGGGCCTGGCCCGTGCCCAGCGTCAGGCAGTGCACGGCGGAGGGCAGCATGTGCACCACAGCCGTGGCCAGGATGGTGCCGAAGCCGAAGCAGGTGCCCAGGCGCACGGCCGTGGCCAGGGCCGCGCTGCGCGCCAGGCGGCCACGGCGTAGCGCTGGGGGCAGTGCCACGCCCGCCAGGCTGGCCAGGCACAGCAGGCCCGCCCCGGCAACGTGGGCCCAGGGGCTGAAGGGGGCGTGCGGGGGGGAGGGGGCCAAGGGGGCTGCGTCCATGCCTTTCAGTGCAGGGGAAAGGAGCGGGGAGGAGCAGTGTGAGGGGTTACAGGTCCTCGAATTTGGAAGAAAAGGGGGGTTCTCTGGTGTCTGCATGACCCCGTGGTCTCCCTCCAGAGGCTGCGCAGTCGCAGGCAAAAGCCGGGAGCCGACTCCCTGCCCCTGCTCCCCAGCCCCTGCCCGTACCTGCCATCCCCGCGACGCCGCGCAGGGACATCAGGACTCTTCAAGGAAAGGAAACCCGTGCCCTCAGCCGAGTCGGTGCATGCACCGTCTAGGCGCGCGTGCCCGAGGCCTCCTCCGGCCACCCACTGACTACTGAGGCACCGATACGCCGTGCAGGATTGGCAGTGCACCTCGCAAGCTGATTCGAACAGAAGAGTCCCCAATACTATAACTGGTTGTATAAAAAGGTTATGCTGCCGTGCGGTGGATGTTTGCCGGCATCCAGTCTGGGTCTGGGATGCGCATACCCCGCTTCCCCGGGACTGGCGTGGGGATTTCTTTGCGCGTGCATCGGGGAGGGTGGCGATTTCTTCCAGTGAAGCACCTACGAACGAAGCAGGCCGACAGGCATCAAGCACCCGGCACTTGAGCTTAACCAGCAAGTGGTAGTCACGGAGATAGCCTGATACCAAATATGAGCAATGACGTCCAGGTGGTGGCATCATCCACTTGATATCCAATAATTATGAGTGTTTCAGAAGTCTCCATCTGGCATGGCACAGGCCCTCTGCCGCTTTCATTGCAAGCAAAAAACATGTTGATCAAACATAATTAGGCTAAAAACAGCATGATAGGTTCTGACGCCATGCTGCCCTCGTTCCACCCATATTCAGTGGATCTGGAAACCATGTGGCAAAGGCCACATGCCGGGTATCCAGCAGCGCAAGTTGATGGCGCTGCACGCACCCACACTCCGATCCAACATCCGCAGTCGTACAGCTCGTATCCTAGGATATCAGCCTGGTGTGCTCTTGAGCACTTATCGAACTACCCGTATGGAGTCAAGCATGGGCACCTCCTGCCGGAGGATGGTTGGTGCCAGTGTTGCACGGCCATGCGCAGCCCTCCCCTACCTTCATACCTTTGTGGAGATGTGCCCACAGCACATCTGCAGCGCAACTTGGGATCAGCTGTTGTCATTGTCGCATTGGATGTCCATCCAAAGAATGGACGCCTTGCTGAACAGTATTACCAAGGTCTCCCGGCTCAGCCTCATCATTGAATGCTCTTCTGCGATCCCCTTCACGGTTCAATCATCAAGGATAGATGGGAGAACATCGACCAACAGCAATACTCAATTGTCATCACAGGCAATCATCAAAAGGTACTATCTTGCTCTCTCCCCTCCAGACTCCCATGGTGCGTGTTAATAATTATCAGACAGCTAGAGTTGCATAAGCTTTGGAAGCTTGTTGTAGCCTTGCTGTCCTATTCGACGCGTAATCTGCATTGTATACTCTGACCAGATCTGTACATTAGACCAATTCCAGAATTTCTCCCGTTGCGCTCCCCCCCCTCTCGATCACGTTTCCGCGGCCTCACCCCGCCTCCCTGTCTCAAAGGGACACCCATTCCTGAAATACTGGTATTCGATACAGATATACGTTCCCTACCAGCTAGCCCTCGTGTGCAGGCTTGGGACCGAACACTGCATTACAGCCTGCACAGTGTCCTGCCAGAAACAGGAGCATCAACCCTTGGCCCCCGCACAGCGAGGCGCACAGCATGGCATCCTTTACATCGGCCAGGGTAGACGTGGGCCGACCGAGGCTTCATGCCGTGTCACTGGCGAGGGCCGATTCGCGGAGGGCAGCCACAGGCGCTGCTGGGGTTCCGGCTGTGCAACACTGGAGCGGCCGGTGCGGGGGGTCAAGGTGGCGACCACAAGTTGCATTCATTGGTATCTTTTAGACATATATCACATTAACCCCTCCTGTGCCTACCCCGTGCAGGCGAGCACAAGGTAGCAGGGGACGAGTCGCCATTCACGCAGCCAGTAGTCCCCCTGGTAGGTTTCCTGACTCGCCTTGAGGACCCTGCATGCCACTCCTCGCTGTCATGCCCGCACAATCATCCTGTCTGAGATCGATTGCCTGCTCCCGACATGGACTTGCAGCGATCGAGCAAGATGCACCAGGTGCAGGACCACTGGATTCTGATGCCCTCCAGGTGAGGAGGGGAGATTGTATCGGGCTGGGGCTGAGACTGCATGACAACAAGACTCCCCTGCCTGATCCATGCACTCTGCACCCACAAACGCCAGGCTTATGATCTGCCTTTAGAGGACTGGTCACAGTCTGCACTGTCCATCTGCGTGGTTGGGGCCTCGGGCGATCTGGCCAAGAAGAAGATCTTCCCCGCCCTGTTTGCTCTGTATTATGACAATCACCTGCCCAAGGTGAGGCATGCAGATGGTGGGGGCGCGATGAATCGTTTGCTGGGCTGATCAGCCCATGCCAGACATGAAACAGCCACCAGCCTCCAGCCGCCTCGCCTGCACCTGCCCGACCAAGCACGTTGCCCAGCCTTGGACCTCGCCTTGTTGATGCAGCACTTCACGATCTTTGGGTATGCCCGGACCAAGCTGGATGACGCCAAGTTTCGGGAGATGATCGCCGGCAACCTGTCCTGCCGCCTCTCTGACGCGTGAGTTGGGAGGACGAAGGGGCCTCTTGGTGCGAGTGGGAGTCGTCAGGAGTGGGCACGATTGGGCTACCAGGGATGAGTGGTGACCGTGAAAATCAGCCATCTGCTAATGTTTGTGGGTGCCCACTCCTATCTTTAACATCTGACGCACACTGGGGCAGGGGCGACTGCGGTGCCAAGATGGAGGAGTTCCTTTCGCGGTGCCACTACCAGGCGGTGAGACTGGGAGTTGGGGAAGTGGTGGTAAATGCACCTGAATCCGGACTCACCTCCTGCCAGCTGTCGGGAGCAGACTCCGCATTCCCTCACATTGGTCTTGGCCCCTGCGAGATCGTCCTGCACCTAGCACCCCTCCTCCCCCTGCTTGTCCCTCGCCAGGGTCAATACGACAGCCTGGAGGACTACGGCGCGCTGGACAAGCGCATGTGCGCGGCGGAGAAGCGCTTCAAGCGGGGGGATCGAGTGTTCTACCTCTCCATCCCGCCCAACATCTTCACCACCGTGGCCGCCTCGGCCTCCAGCGCAGCCTCCTCCAAGTGAGCATCGATGGCCATTCACATTTCCATTCTCTGGGCAGTCCCTCCTTGGAGCATGCCTTGTCAGCGCAGGGACTGCAATGTGATGACAGGGCGCCCACCAACGCTCCCCCCCACTCACCACCCATGTGCTCACTGCCTCCCCCCCCACCCCCCACCCCCCACACACGCGCCCTCCCCTTGACGATTAAAGGAGCGGCTGGACACGCATGATCGTGGAGAAGCCCTTTGGCCGGGACCTGGAGTCCTCGCGTCAGCTGGCGACGGAACTGTACAAGCATCTGACAGAGGAGCAGATCTACCGCATCGACCACTACCTGGGCAAGGAGCTGATCGAGAACCTGACCGTGCTGCGCTTTGCCAATCTGGTGTTCGAGCCACTGTGGAGCCGGCAGTACATCCGCAACGTGCAGGTCATCTTCTCTGAGAACTTTGGCACGGAGGGGCGTGGCGGCTACTTTGACCAGTACGGCATCGTGCGGGACGTCATCCAGAACCACCTCCTCCAGATCCTGGCCCTCTTTGCCATGGAGCAGCCGGTGCGGGTGTGGGGGTGTGGTGGGGGACTCTGTTTGGCGAGGGGTGGTCGCGAAGCATGTGGGCGGTGGGGTGGTTTCCATGGTCTCACTTCCCGAGCACCCCCCCCGAAACATAACTCTTACCGCAGGCCAGCATGGGCGCGGAGGACATCCGCGACGAGAAGGTCAAGGTCCTGCGCAGCATGCAGACCGTGCGGCTGGAGGACATGGTACTGGGGCAGTACCGCGGCCGGCGTGTCAAGGGCATGAGCCAGCCGGGGTATCTGGAGGACCCCACCGTACCGCCCAACAGGTTGGGTTTGGATGAAGAGGGAATGGGGCCCTGGGTGTCGAGTCTCATGCTGCCGGCTGTGGCATGCACAGTGTCGAGTCACCCCTGCGTCCCTCAGGTGCAAGTGACTGCGTTGAGAGGTTCATGGGTGTCGCCTCCCTCCTACATCAACGGCGCCTGCTCATCACCCAACACCCCCCCATCCCTGCCCTGCAGCCTGACGCCGACGTTTGCCGCATGCGCCGTCTTCCTGAACAACGCGCGATGGGACGGCGTCCCTTTCCTGCTCAAGGCGGGGAAAGCGCTGGAGGGGCGCATGGCCGAGATCCGGGTGCAGTTCCGCCACGTCCCTGGCAGCCTCTACCGGGACAAGCTGGGCTTCTCGGCCGGCATGAGTAGCGAATCCGCCACCAACGAACTCGTGAGCAGGGGAGTGGGGTGGTGGTGGTGGTGGTGGTGGGGAAGCGAGGCTGTGCCAACAAGTGCGTACCTGTGTTTTAGGGGTGCCTCCCCGGCGCTGCCTGGTCTGCGGCCAGTTCTTCCTCGGGTCAGCTTTGCTCGACGCAGGCATTGTTCCAGTATGGACTGCCTGCCTGCCATCGAATCCGCCGCTGACCGTGGTCGCCCATGCGCTGATCCAAAGGGTAACTTCCCACCTCACCCTCCTCCTGTTCACCCCGACCCAGGTGATCCGCATCCAACCCAACGAATCCATATACCTCAAGATCAACAACAAGGTGCCGGGACTGGGTCTGCGCGTGGAGAACACGCGACTGGACCTGACCTACGGCTCTCGGTACCAAACGCATCTGCCAGGTCAGCGGGCAGTTGGAAAGCGGGGGGCCGGCATCAGAGTCAGCAAGTGCTGCGAGCGGGACTTGGCCAGGCAGTCATGAGGAGGCAATGTTCGGTGCAAACAGGACACACTTTGAGGATGGCGTTTGTGAATGGCTGATTGTGGTATGGGCACTCATCCTGGCCAATCTGCCCTCCCCCCCCCTCCTCATCATGCCACAGACGCATATGAGCGTCTGATCCTGGACTGCGTCAATGGCGACCGCCGCCTCTTTATCCGGAATGACGAGCTGGAGGTGGCATGGGAGAAGTTCACCCCCGTGCTCCAGGTGTGGCATGACAGCGAGACAAAGAAAGGGGAATAGGGCGTGGGATGCCTGCTGTGCTGACATGCCTCCTGAAGCTGGGTGGGTGGGGCGTGCTGCTTTGTCTACCATTCACCACAGCCGGCCACGCATCGTGTGCCTAGTCGCCAGTCTATCACCGCTGCACACCCGTCGCACGCCAGGAAATTGAGGAGCGCAGGGTGCAGCCGGAGCAGTACCCATATGGCAGCCGCGGCCCCGTGGGCGCCCACTACCTGGCGGCAAAGTACGGCGTTCGGTGGGGCGACCACAACTCCGACGATCTCTGACCGGGCCCCGGGTGGTGCTCCCGGCACGGCGACGAGACTGGCTGCTGAGGGTGACCTTGAGCCCAGACACCCGTGCATGTCCCGTGTGGAGTCCGCCCAACTCTGCATCCACATGCGTCTGCGAGTGTGTTACATGAGCTCTGCATCCTTATGCCTTTGGCTTGAAGGCCGCCTCAAAGGCCTTCTGCTCCGTGCGGCACTTGTGCAGCTTGTTGCTGCGCAGCATCGTGTGATGGGAAGAGCCGGGTAAGAGATGGGTCAAAGGGGTATGCGCTTCCATAAACTTTAAGCGAGCATGGCAATCCTTGGAGAAGCGACGACGAGAGCCGGCTGTCCAGGGAGGTGAGAGCACCAGCTCCCCGATTCACCCCACCTGTTGTAGTCGAGACACTCGTAGTACTTCTTAAATTCGGCAGGAGTCTGGGCGTGGACCTCCTTGAGCCTGCAATCGGACAGAGGGAGGTCCTATGCAAGATTGAACTGGGGCACCCCACCAGCACAGATCCCAAAGTTGGTCGCCAATCCTCCAAACCCCATGCCAGCACTCACAAGTCCACGAGGCAGCCTGTCACTTCGTTTCCTGGGCCAAGGCAGTCGGCTGGATTGCTGTGCTCCGCTTTGCACTGCATGTAGGCCTGGTTCACCTTGGAACACCGGATTCCAACCTGCTTGGACACCGCTGTCAGTACAGCGGAAGTGGGCAGGGGGACGTCTGCATCTGCCATTATGACAGTCTATTCCAGGTAGCGCGAGGGGCTGATCCACAAGCAGTGGGCCCTCGGGGCGGGGTTTACTCCTGATACGTGCAGGCCGGGGGACAGTCGTCCTGTGCTGTGGATTCCCAGCGCCCTCTCACTGACACTGCACTGATGCGGGGCAGGAGTACAGACTTGTGCTAATATCAATGCAATAGCTTGGGTGCCGTCGCGACGAGTTCTGGGAGCAACAGGGTATAGGGTACACAAGCTGGGACTGTCGAGAGGAAGATGTCCGCTCCGTCCTTTCTATCAAGGTTCCCGCTGTCTGAGGGCCCAGCAGTCACCGTCCCGCCATGGCTTGAGGAGCGAGTCGGGCGCCGGAAGCCCTCTTTCCGGTATCTCTGACGCCCGAACCACCGTCTGGAGGCGTCAACATGGCGGAGGTGAGTGCGCCGCAGGGTGTGGAGGCGCCCATCGTCGCCCGGGTGGCGCTCCGCAGGTCTCCTCAGTTTCCCCGCTTTTCTCCCCTCCCCCCGCATGTTCATCGGATGCAGTCCGTGCAAACCTTCGGGCGCAAGGTGCGTGGGGTGGGGACTCTTAGGCCCTGGCAGGGCCTCGCGCTCGTGTTGCTTGGAAATGTCGTAGGGGAAATTGGGTCGGGGTGGACGGGGCTGTCCCCACGGGTCGCATCCGTGGCGCTCCTCCTCACACATCCATTCTCCTCATCGATGCGCAGAAGAATGCTGTGGCCGTCGCACACGTGAAGCGCGGAAAGGGCGAGCTGCGCCTGAATGGTGGGCAGGCCTGGTCTAGGGTGGGAACGCCTGCTGGAATGACGTGTAACCGGTGGGATCAGCTGGGAAGTTCATTGCCTTGTCTCCATGACGTGTGGGCAACGCCTGCAGGGGCTCTCACTCTGCAAAGTACTCCGGCTCCCTACTGTTTGGCATGGCACATCCCCTCAGCCCCTGCTGATACACACTCCCCACTCCCCCCCCCCA